TGGTGATGATAATGATGGTGGTAACACTGGTGGTGATGATAGCGAGGTGGTAATGGTGGTGAGCGTGGTGGGGGCTGGAGCAGGGACGACGGCGGTGGTGATGTGTTGATGGGCGTTGCTAGTGAGTGCTTTATTTTGCCCCAAGGCTTCTACATGATTTCAGTGAATTCTCATGACAGTCTTATGGGGGCAGACAACTTGGGTTTAAGGTTCCATCTGGTTGACTTTAAAGCCAGCTCCCTGAAATGTTTGGGGGCAACTACCATTTGCCTGGCCTTCTCCTCCCACCAGCCCAGAACCATCGGTATTGTCACATCGCCTTTTCAGGTGAGGGAATGGAGGCCTCATCAAAGTTAATCCACTTGCTCAAGGTTGTCTGAGCTCTCCCCCTGGACTGTTCTTACCCTCATATTTGGTGGGAACGCTAAGCTCTAATTCTGTCCTCTCCTTGCAAGCATTCCACCATTCAGGCTGTTTCTGTTAAACTTCTGTTTAGGAGAATAACTTCGAGGCAGACTGTTGCTTTCCTGCATGGAGGGGAGCATTCTAGGTGCGTCTGGGCTGCATGGAAGGAGGCGCTGGGTTAACAGAGGTGGTTGTCATTCTGCATCATGTTCTTGGTCATCCCACCCATGGCCACAGTGGGAGTGGGAGGGCTTTAGAGGACGTTAACAGCCAGTGTCTGGAAATCATAGTGTGGGAGGAATTACTCCAGAGAGGGTGTCCTCAGATAGGGAATTCACCTCTGTGTGCTGAGCACCAGGGATTCAGCAGGGACCCAGGCGGAGAAGGTCCCTGCCCTCAGAGAACATCACCAAGAGGTTTTGTGAGCCTTTCTTACCTTGTGGGCCCAGCCGAACAATTGGAGAGCTCTTTATCAGATTTGAAATATTCTTATTGTTCTAAGAGACCAGTGGTCAGATTTGTCTGTGACATAAAACCCCTGAAACATTCTTCAAGGTTCACCAAGATTTTTAATAATATCTGTTTCTCTGTCTGTCACTCTGTTTCTGTCTCCCTTTCTTTTTCTGTTTCTCTCTCTCTCTCTGTCACTCTGTAAGAAAGATGAGATCAATACATTATGGCCAGTAGCTGTTGCTTGCAGGGGAGACCCGCCCCCGCCCCCAGGCAGAGTGTAGACACTGTTCTCATTAAAGCCAGTGACCCACAAGGGCGACCAATGAGAAGAAAAGTGGTTAGAGCACGTTTCAGGCCTTAGTGTGCTCTCAGATCACCCAAACCGCCAAGAGGCAGATTCCGATTCAGTAGGTCTGGGTGGGGCTGAGGCTCCGCATTTCCAAGCACCCCCAGTGACGGGACGCTCCCCACCCCTGAGCGCCGTCTGAGGAGCCGGGGTCCAGGAAATCCTCTCCAGAGCCCTAGCAAAACCTCTCAAATCACCAACAGCCTCTCCTGGCCAAACGCTAAACTGAGGATGATCAGGAAAGCCCTGAATCCAGGCACCAAGAGCATGGGCATCCTGGTTCGTCATTAAGCTGGCGTGCTGAGTTGTGCAGAGCTGGAAGTTACTTCACTGTCGGCGTCTCTGCACTGCAAGCGGGGCATGGCAGTACCTCGTTTGTGGGACGGTCACGAGGATTCCTCTCATTGATAACGTGCTTAAACCCACGCCTGGTACGAAATAAGTCCCGTGTGCTTTTCACAGGAAGGGACGTGGACTGTGCTGCGTGTGGTGGTTGCGATGGGTGTTGGGCAGAGAGCAGAGGTGGGTAGGCTGATCGGCACAATGGCGCAGCACTGTAATAGGAAGAAGATTCTAAAAAAAAGTGTAAAACAGTCAGAAATTTTTGTATTAAAAACACAATCAAAAGTCCGGTTGCAGCAGGAAGAGGAACCTCTTTTCCCCGAGGAGTTACATGAAAGTTAACTGCCCCAGACAGGGATTCGGTAGACAGTTTATACAAACGGATGCACCTTATGAGCTATCCCCCCACCCCATGTCGGCGTTTTGTT